AGAACAATCGGGTTTGGTTTCCTTTCAATTCGTTATTCAAATGAAATCTGAATTTATTCTATTTGAATTTCAAATTTCAGAAGATGGTTATATTCTATTTCATTCTCTTCCATTCTACTCTATTCTAATGAATTCTATTGTTTCTTCTATTCTAATCTATTTTATTCAAATTCACATTTATTCAATTCAGATTTTAGAAGACAGTTTATATTTTTTCTATGCTATTCTATTGTTTTTTTTTTTCTATTCCATTCTTTTATTTTCTCTTATTTTCTATTATCTTTTCTATTGTTTTCTATTCAAATCTGAATTTATTCTATTTGAAATTCGAATTTCAGAAGATGGTTATGTTCTATTTCATTCTTTTCTGTTCTATTCTATTGTTTCTTCTATTCTAATCAATTTTTTTCTAATTCAAATTTATTCAAATTCAAATTTCGGAAGACAATTATATTTTTTCTATTTTATACTATTGTATTTTCTATTCTATTCTATTATTTTCTAGTCTTTTCTATTCTGTTCTAATCTATTCAAATTTGCATTTATTCTATTTGAAATTGGAATTTTGGAAGATGGTTATATTCTATTTCACTCTAGTCTATTGAATTGTATTGTTTCTTCTCTTCTGTTCTATTCTACTCTAATCTATTTTATTCTAATTCAAATGTATTCAAATTCAAAAATTCGCATTTCAGAAAACAGTTATATTCTTTCTATTCTACTCTATTCGTTTTTTTCTATTATACTCTTTTCTATTCTTTTTGTCTCTATTCTATTCAAATTGGAATGTATTTTATACATAATTCAAATTTCTGAAGACAGGTATACTCTTTCTATTTTACTGTATTCTATTGTTCTATTCTATTGTTTTTCTATTCTATTGTTTCTATTTTATTATTTTCTATTCTATTCCAGTGTTTAATTTTCTATTCTATTATTTTCTTATTCAAGTTTGAATTGAATTTGATTAAAATTTCATCCTTTTTGTGCTTAAAGACAAACGCAAGTGTTGGCCCAGTGTTGGTATGTACACAGCGGTTGCACCGTGTATGTGAGGTATCATCGCGGACGTCAGATGGAGGGCAGTAATTCTAGCACTAGACATCCTGTTTAAATCAAATATAACCTATAAAGTCTTATAAAGCATTACCTATGGATATTAAAGATTTATGTAGTGTGTGTGCAATTTTAAAGCATGTCATGTTTGGTATCTATTTACTCGCCATAACATTCTCTTTTATATTTTAGCAAACAATTGGGAAATATATATGTGTTTTTGTTGGTGCTTAAAAAAAATAAATAAAAAGGTTTTTTTTTGATGGTTTGAAAAATTGCTGTGCAAATACTGTGTGACATAAAAAATTGAAACACCCACCGTTGTGTCCTCTAGGGCCTCTGATTTAAAAAAAAAAAAAATATATATATATTTATATATATATATATATATATATATATATATATATGATATGTGGGGGTTCAAAGTAATTTTCTAGCAAAACAAAAGTGTTTTTTTCATGTAAAGAAAAAAGTGTCAGTGGTCTTCAAGTGGTTAGCAGAGTGGGTGATGTGTGGCATAAGCTTCTCATGTTTGCCTTGAAATGCCAGGATAGTAGATGAAACCCCCCAAAATTATCCCTTTTTGGAAAATAGACACTCCAAGGTATTTGCTAAGGGGCATAGTGAGTATTTTGCAGATCTCATTTGTTGCCACAAGTTTTTGGAAAATGTATTTTTGCTTTTCTTTAAAAAAAAAAACCCCTGTGACAAAAAGAGATCTGAAAAATATTCACTGTGTCTCTTATCAAATTCCTTGGTGTGTCTTTCCAAAAAGGGGTCAAATTTTGGGGGCCTGTATGTGGTTAGGTTGCCAAAAAGTCTCTCATATGTGGTGTCTCCATACTCGGAAGAAGTAGCAGAATGTGTTTTGTATAGCCATGGCATACGTGAGCAATATATCATTTACAGTAAATGACAACTTTGTTTAAAAAACCACACAAAATATTTAGTCATTTTCCCAAAATTTTTGGCAAAAAAATAAAATCTTCCGTGGACTCAACATCAGGGCCGGATCTAGCTTGTCTGATGTGGGTCTGTAGTAAAAAATGTCAGGGGGGCAGAGGATGTGAGTTCAGTAGGGCAGTGTAGAGGGGTTCAGTAAGGCAGAGAGTAGGGTCAGCAGTTTGTAGGACAGTGTACATAGGTCAGCAGTTTGTAGGACAGTGTACATAGGTCAGCAGTTTGTAGGACAGTGTACATAGGTCAGCAGTTTGTAGGACAGCGTACAGAGGTCATTAGTATGTAGGACAGTGTACAGTGGGCAGAAGATGGAGCAGCAGCAGAACAGTGTGCAGGGTGTCAGCAGAGAGTGTACAAGAGTTAGTATGGCAGTGTACAGGGGGTCAGCAGGGTGGAGAACAGGGGTCATCAGGTCAGCAGTGCAGAGGACAGGGTTCAGCAGAGCAGTGTAAGGAGATCAGTAGGGCAGAAGACAGTGATCAGCAGAGAAGAGGACAGAGCACTCAGCAGAGCTTCTCCTCCATCTCCACACCGCACACAGCCTAGGTAATCAGATGTCCTCCTCCCCACCCAGCACAGAGCTGAGCTACTGCAGCCGCCATTCTGATCGGGGGAATTTCACAAGTCAGAACTGCAACATCTCAGCCGGGTGCACACTGTGCAGATTCAGGCTGTGTTTGTAAGGAAATCTGAGCGATGTGCGGGGAGGAGGAGATCTGTTGCTCCGAGTGTGCTGTGTGAGGAGGAGGAGATCTGTTGCTCCGAGTGCCCTGTGTGCAATGTGGTGAGGAGGAGATCTGTTGCTCTGAGTGCCCTGTGTGCGGTGTGGTGAGGAGGAGATCTGTTGCTCCGAGTTCCCTGTGTGCAATGTGGTGAGGAGGAGATCTGTTGCTCCGAGTTCCCTGTGTGGAGAGGAGGAGATCTGTTGCTCCGAGTTCCCTGTGTGCGGTGTGGGGAGGAGATCTGTTGCTCCGAGTGCCCTGTGTGCTGTGCGGGGAGGAGAGGAGATCTGTTGCTCTGAGTGCCCTGTGTGCTGTGCGGGGAGGAGGAGATCTGTTGCTCTGAGTGCCCTGTGTGCTGTGCGGGGAGGAGGAGATCTGTTGCTCTGAGTGCCCTGTGTGCTGTGCGGGGAAGGAGGAGATCTGTTGCTCCGAGTGTGCTGTGTGGGGAGGGAGGAGTTCTGTTGCTCCGAGTGTGCTGTGTGCTGTGCGGGGAGGAGGAGATCTGTTGCTCCGAGTGTGCTGTGTGGGGAGGAGAGGAGATCTGTTGCTCCGAGTGCCCTGTGTGCGGTGCGGGGGAGGAGGAGATCTGTTGCTCCAAGTGCCTTGTGTGCGGTGTGGACAGTGCCAGGGCAAGGTCATCTAACTCTCAGGGAGAGGATGCAAACTGCCCCCCCCCTCCTCCCGATGTGTGAATATCATGTCTCTGCATAAATCCTGCCCTCTTAAAAAAAAAATAACTTGGCATTGATCAGCATGCTCACCCCTAAATATAAAATTCCCTCTGTAAGCCAACAATTCTCCCAAACAATGTAGAAATTCCCCCCTCCTTCCAGTCCATTTATTCCCCCTCTAAGTACAAATCTTTACCCCCTCAATTCCACCTCCCAGCTCAAATCCCCTCATTCCCCCCCTCCTAGCACAAATCTTCCCCACCCAAAAAATAATCACCCCTTCCAGCACACATCCTCTTTCCCTTAAAAATTACCATCCTAGCAAAAATACTTCCCACCTAATCTCTCCTCCTAGCACAAATCCTATCCCTAAAATTCAGCTTCTAGAATAACACCCCCCCAGCACAAATCCCCCTCCTAGCAGAAGTTCCCCCTTCCTAGCACAAATCCCTCCTCCTAGCACAACCCCTTAAAATTACACTTCTCAGCACATATCCTCCTTCCTCACCCAAATGCCCTCAAATATCACCCCAAATCCCCCCTCCTAGCCATACCCCCCCCAGTTTGCCCCTACTAGTACATATTCCCCCAAATCCCCCCTTTTAATAACCCTCATTCATCCTCCTAATCCACCATCCTAGTGCATATCCCCCAATCACCCCTCTTTTCTCTTCCTAGTACATATCCCCCACCCAGTACATATCCCCCATATTTTCCTCCTAGCAAATACCCCCCCAATCCTCCATTCTAGTACATATCCCCCTCAATCCCCCCCCATCCTAGTACATATCTCCCCAAATCACCCCTCCTAGCAAATGCCCATCCCCCACCCCCATTCCTCCTCCTACCATTTATCATCTTCCTCCCATTAACCTTTTCAGCACAAATAGCCTCTCATCCCCCCATCTCTACAAAGCTCTCAGCCCAAGCACAAATTATTACCCCCCCCAGCGTTGTGTTCCCACTACTGTTCTCCAACCTGTAAGAGCCCAGAGGGGGTGCAGGCTGTGCTGTGCTCTCCCCTCTCCTGTCAGAGCAGCTCCTCAGTATAGTAGATGACAGGGGAGTACATTTAGATTGAAGAAAAGAGACAGGTGGCGCTGTCTCAGTGTAGTAATAATTCTGTATTTATTAGCAAAGGATTAAAAACACTCACAAAGGAAGTAATAAAACAAGCTCATCTGTGTATATGGGAGATGACCGTTCCTCAAAAACATCCTGCAGGTGCCCCCCGTGGTTGGTGCAATAGCAGCTGGCTGATGGGGATGGTGGGAGACTCCGTAGGGGTCAATCTTTCAGAATGGTGGTGTTGTAGAGCCGATCCAGCAGCATTTGGGCAGGAAGGAACCTAGTAACTAGCCTGATACACACCCGCAGGATGTGACATCACAGGAAGAGGGTCAGTGGGAAGGAAGAGCACAGACGTGGGCAACTCAGGCTACGTGCTCAGAGCCTCTAGTTCCGTCTATTGGCCTGGTGGACCTTGGGGAAGTAGCAGCTTAAATAGAGGACACTGCCAGGCGTGGAAGAACAATGCTCAGTGGAGGTTTAACCTCCTTAGCGGTATTCCCGAGTGTAGCTCGGGGTAAAATGTCTGTACCAAAAGCGGTAACCCCGAGCTACACTCGGGCTTACCATGTGGCGTTGCTCTGGGGGTCCCTGCAGCACTTACCTTGTCCTTCGTTCCCGCGATGGGTCCCCTGCAGCATCCCCGGCCATCTCCTCCGGCCGATGCCGGCATCCGGCTTCTGTGTTCCGGTTCCCGTGACGTCGGGACGTACGGGCGGCGGGAAATTTAAAAAATTTAAATTTTTTTTTTTTTTAATTTACATAGTAAAACATTGCTGTTTCATCCCATTTCACATATATTTTGTCCCGAGTGCTTTGTCCGGCGCCCTGCCTGCATTTTGTCTGTTCTTTCTGCCTGGAAACTGAGAAACGTCCATGGCGTCCAAAAAGTGTCCCTTTACGTCAAAAGCGGGTTTAGATCAGCTAGAGAACAGCGATAGTAAATCAGAACCACTTGCAGAATTGAGTGATAATGATTTGTGGGGAAATTTTCCTAAAAATTACAGCCTACAATAAAAAACTATTTCCATGCGAAAAAATGGTACCGCTTTCAGCACAAAAAATTGGAAAGAATCAGACCGCCAGGGAGGTTAAAGACACAGTAAAACATGGGAAAAATGCATATAAATGTGGAACATGATCTCAAAGCACAAAACTATAAAAAATATATAAAAGATATGATATTATAAAGAGAGCACTGAATCATAAAACAGAAAAATTATGAAGGATATATATGTGTATAACGGTGTACACGTACTGGTATTAGCAATGATGATAAAAATGGTAATCAATGTAAAATTGCACATACGGTAGTGTCAGTAACAAAAAGAAACCGGGCACTGAAAAAAAAAAAGTGAAAAAATTATTGCTTCCTAAACCTCCTGCTGCATAACCCGAGTGGCAAGTCCTCCAGGTCCTGAAGCTGCAAACCAGCACCAGACCATCACACTTCCACCACCATGTCTGACTGTTGGGATGATGTTCTTTTATGAAATGTCGTGTTAGTTTTACACCAGATATAACGGGACGCACACCTTCCAAAAAATCAAATAGTCCAACTTTTGCCTTATCAGTCCACGGAATATTTGCACTAACGTTTTGGGGATAATCAAAATGATTTTTGGCAAATGTGAGACGAGCCTTTGTGCTTTTGGTGAGCGGTGGCTTTGGCCTTGGAACTCTCCCATGGCAGCCATTTTTGCCTTTTCTCTTTCTCTTTTTGTTGATTCATGAATACTGACCTTACCTGAGGCAAGTGAGACCTACCGTTCATTGGATGAAGTTCTGGGTTCTTTTTTGACCTGTTGGATGAGTAGTTGTTGTGCTCTTGGAGTCATTTTGGCCACTCCTGGGAAGGCTCACCACTGTTCCAATTTTGTGGATAATGGCTCTCTCCATGGTTCCCTGGATTCCCAAAGCCTTATAAATTGCTTTGTAACCTTTTCCAGATGTATACATGTAATTTCCTTTGTTTCTCATCTGTTCTTGTATTTCTTTAGCTCGCGGAATGACGTGTTGCTTTTTGAGATCTTGCTTCATTTTATCAGACTGCTTCTATATTAGTGATTTCTTGATTCAAAAGGTCTGGCAGCAATCAGGCCTGGGTGTGGCAAGTGAAATTTAACTCAGCTTTCCAAATTATGTAATTAATCACAGTTCATTTGTGATTTAGCAAAGGGTGGGGGGGGGGGGGGAGGAATTTTTTACATCGGGTCAGGCAGGTTTGGACAGCTTTTTTTCCCTTAATAAATGAAGTCATCATTGAAAAATGTGCATTTTGTATTTACTCAGGTTATCTTTGTGTCATATTAAAAATGTGTTTGATGATCTGAATCATTTAGGTGTGACAAATATGCAAGAAAAAAAAAAAAAACACAATCAGAGAAGGGGGCAAGTACTTTTTCACAGTACCATATGTGTCTTTGCATACATAGGTGTTTACAGGCGTATTAAAAGAGGAACGTTTACAGGCAGAGAATGAGGAACATTCAGGAGAGGAGCTTTTGGGCAGAAAAAACATGGAATGCACACAAACACACATAACGCTAGGTACACTTAGGCGCGTTCCCACGTTTGCTCGTTAATACATTCTAATGGCCAGAATGAATTAAAAACTTGAGTGCCTCCACATATAAGGAGAAAAATTAAAAAAGAGACAGCCGTGGGAGAGTTCCTTCAGGTAGAGGGGTTCAACAGGTAACTGGATAACATATAGGAGAAGAAGGTAACATGCAGTGGTGACCCTCTGACATCTGTGGCATCTGTGGGGTTGCTGAGCTCCCTAATGGGGGATCTGACAACCTGGAGTGATTATTGCTCACAGAATATTCCTGTATAAAACACTGTCAATGTGCGGTGCCACAAAACGCGTTGACGGTGTTTATTACTATTCTGTGAGCAATAAATATCACATCTATGAAGAATCCATATGTGTGGATTTGTAAAATTGTTAAAATGTTTTAAAAAAAAGAAAAAAAAAAAATTAAAAATGTAATAAAAAAATGATTTCTTTAATTTTTTTAGATACTCTCACCAGTCGGTGTCCCTGATCACCGCCACACCAGTCATAGGATGACGCTTTACTGCACTGGTGACAGGATGTAAAAAAAAAAAAATGCGAAAAAAAAAATGTATTGAATTTCTTCCTTTTCCAAAAGAAAAATGACAAAAATTTACAGCTTCAAAAAACTCGTCATGGCACTTACTAAAAACACCTTGGACCGTCTACTTTCCAAAAAGGAAAGTTTTGGGGGGATATTTGTACTGCCATGGCATTTTTTTGAATGTCATGAAATTAGATTGTCCCGTCAATACATCAGGATTGATTGATTTTCAGATATATATCCTTCAGAAGTCACCTAATTAGTAAACAGAGTCCCCCTGTGTGTCATTTAATCTCAGTATAAACACAACTGTTCTGTGAAGCCCTCAGAGAACATTAGTGAACAAACAGCATCGTGAAGGCCAAGGAACACACCAGGCAGGTCAGGGATAAAGTTGTGGAGATGTTTAAAGCATGGTTAGGTTATAAAAAAAAAAATACCCCAGGCTTTGAACATTTTGAGGAGCTCTGTTCAATCCATTATCCGAAAATGGAAAGAGTACGGCACAACTGCAAACCTACCAAGATATGGCTGTCCACCTAAACAAAGTGATCATTCATCAAAGAAGAAGCCAAGAGGTCCATGGTAACTCTGGATGAATTGCAGAGATCCACAGCTCAGGTGGGAGAATCTGTCCACAGGACAACTATTACACTCCACAAATCTAGCCTTTATGGAAGAGTGGCAAGAAGAAAGCCATTGTTAAAAGAAAGCCATAAGAAGTCCCATTTTCAGTTTGCACACAGCAAACATGTGGAAGAAGGTGCTCTGGTCACATGAGACCACAATAGATTTTTTAGCCTAAAAGCAAAATGCTATGCGTGGCAGAAAACGAACGCTGCACATCATCCTGAACACACCATCCCCACCGTGAAACATGGCGGTGGCAGCATCATGTTGTGGGGATGCTTTTCTTGAGACCCAGGGTGGAGACAAAGACTTGAGACCAGGGTGGAGGTTCCCCTTCCAGCAGGACAACAACCCAAAACATCCAGCCAGAGCTACAATCGAATGATATACTGTAGATCAAAGCATATTCATGTGTTGGAATGGTCCAGACCTAAATCCAAAGGAGAATGTTTGGGGTTCTGGCTGGGCAGGGAGGGGGTCAGGGTGAAAGCTCAGGGGGGAGGTCTGCTGTGGTGAAGCTCAGGTGGGAGGGTGGGGATACTCCCCCAATCAGGAGGTTGGTTGTGGACAAGATTTTCACGATGGGTGTTAAGGCTGATGACATCTTTGCTTTTTATCCGGTGGAGTCAGGGTCTTGTCCACGGCAGAAGTTCTGGAAGATCTGGCATTTCTGCCAGTAGCCTGCATGGCCGCAGAAGCATGCATCAGCCTCAGTTTGGTGCCAGACGACCCTTTA